CTTTCCTGCTTATGCAGGGGGTCGGACTCGATGATCTATTGAGGTCTGTTCCGACCCTAACATCTATGAATCTATGTGCATGGCAGGAGGTGTGATTCTGGGATTGTGCATTAGGTCCAATCATCCCTTACTGCTGGTACAGAGGGAATCCAATCCTAGGCTCCCCCTGCACCAACAAGAAGCAAGCTCTGGCAGATGGGAGCCCCCTCAGTTTAGGGGCTCCCAGCTGTGGTGGCATCCCATGCACCATCAGAGCTAGGGGATTATAACTTGCAATCCCCCAGCCCCAGGAGTTTCATGAACCCCAGAGGCTGAGAGATGGCAGCAGCTGTGATCCCCCAGCCCCAGGAGTTGAACACACCCCCAGGGCACCCGCATCCCCTGGCTTTGGGACCCAGCTGGGTTTCAGCTTCCACAGCTGCAGGACTCTGGATCCCTGTGTCTAACTTTATAGCAGGTTGAAGCTTTTTATAGTATGATAGGGTCTTTGCATGTGTAGCTGGTCTAAAGGTCAACTAGCTACATGCAAGATACCTGAAGCATGTAAAGAGGGCCTGACACTTCATATTTGCCAGCTTACACACAGTATACTGACTGCTGTGCAATTTGGGGGCCTTATTCTATTTAAAACAAGTACAGTTTTTAAAAATATACTGTGTGTGGGATTTTCAGATGTGCACAGTGTGGATCTAACTCTCATCCCATGGAAGTCAGTGCTCCGGTAATTTCACTGGGAAGAGCAACATGCTAAAGCTAGAAACTAGGGATGAGAAACCATTAAAAAAAATGAATAATTAATTGCAAGATTAAAACAAATAGTTGCACTTTATCACAATTTTGATCACACAGTTAAGCAATAGTCAGCACCACCCCCCAACCCCCCCCACCCAACAGCCTGGAGCCCCTGTGCCCTGTGGCTTCTCCCTCCCCACCACCAACAGCCCCAACCCTGGCCTGCCCCATGCCCACTCTGGACTTTTGCTGGCCAGAGCAGGCCAGCTGGAACCCGTGTAAACAGCCCTGACCCCTGGCCACCCTGTGCCTGCTCCAGACTCATCGGCCCACACTGAGCAGTGGCAGTGGCCAGGCAGAAGCTTCTGTTCGGTGCAGGGAAACAGCGACCCCTCCCCTTCAGCGCTGCCAGACCCTTCTTGCTGCACCTGCCCACACAGGCTGCCCTACTGCTCCTCTGCACTTCCACCACTGGCCTGCTGTGTGGGCTGGAGGCAGCAGTGACAGTGGCAGAGAGAAGCCGTAGGGCAGCCCAGGCATAAGCTCTGGGCAGCTGCAGCAAGAAGGGCCCAGCAGCAGGCAGGGGGAGGAGTCGCTTTTCCCTCGAGCTGAGCAGCAGCTTCTGCCTGGCTGCTGCCTCTGCTCAGAGTGGGTGGGCGGTCTGGAGCAGGTGCGGGGTGGGCCAAGGTCAGGGCTGTGCAAATGCGTTCCGGTTAGTCCAAAGCTGGTCTGCTTCAACAGGCCAAGTCCGAAGAAGGTGTGGGACAGGCCATATTTTGCCCACCCCTGGTCAAAATGGATGCGTGTGATGAATGCTCATTACAAAAATTAATGCGTTAGTTTGTTTTGTGTTAATCAAGTACATTAACTATGATTAACTGACAGCCCTACTAAAAATCATTAAGAGTCATAGTCTGTAAGGTCAACAGTAAGTTAGCGGGACCCTGCAGGCTTCCTGATGTTGCAACTCTTTATGCAGACAGACTTATGCACCCATGTAGCGCCTTACTGAAGTAAATGGTGAAGCGTGGGAGTACGGACTCTTCTAAGGCAGGACCATGGCCTGAATTAGTATTTTGTTTTTAAAGATGTACTCTTGTTTTAAAGCTGTCCATCATCATCTAGATGAATTTTTGCTTTGAATTCTATGACACCATGAGCAAAGCACAATTTTTAAACCTCTAGTTTCCCTGATGGTGTCAACTTTTCCCCTCTGTGGACAGATCTCAGGCAGAGATTGACTTGCTCTAAAGCTCTACATAAGCCACAGAATATACCAGTCCCTCAGTGACAGAAATCTCATCTCGACTCCAGGTGACACTGTAATCCACAAGATTTCATGAGATGAGTTGTTACAGTTCTCTATTTAATAGTATTAAAGATTAAGTCATACTTACTTTTTAAAACCTGAAGAATTTTACGCTTTTTCTAAATTCTAAATCTAATAATTTTGCAATTAAGTATAGTTCTATAAGCAAACAACTACAGGATTCTTATATTGTACAAAGTAATACCAGTGAATACCTCTGCAACTTCCTCAGCACTTTGTCCCAGGCTTTGAAAAATCTGATTGTAATTTTTAAGGTAAACATCAGCAAACATACGAGCTGTTTCTTCATCTGCAGCCGAAAGGTCCATTTTCATTCCATCTTCATACACCTTTTTTTCAAATTCTGTGATCACAGGTCCTGGTTCAATCAAACTTACCCTATTCCAGAAACAAAACTATATTAGTGATCTTTTTTTCCTATGTGGGAAACATGCAACTCTACTATTCTTATAGACAAACAGTGTCAAAGATGGCCCATAGGCCAGATCCCAGTGCTGCCACTGGGTCTCAGGTGATTCACACACCACCACACTAGCTCTACATGCAGGGCCCAGAAAGTGCACCACATGCAGCACCTGCTGTGGCCAGTCCAGGATGTTCAATACATGTGGTACCCACTCTGGGACATGTGGCACCTATGGCACCCACCTCCAGCCAGTCCAGGATTTGTGCCATGTGCCTGCCCAGTCTGCGATTGTGCCACATGTGGCGCACACATCCCAGACTGGCTAGAGGGGTAGGAAACACGTGTTCCAGGCTGGCCAAGGAAGGAGGGTTGTGCTGCCTCACAACTGTTGGACTCTGCAACAAAAAGCTAAGGACAACCATAAACTTCACTGTCTTCTGGACAAAATTATAAATGACCTTTTCATCAGAGTTTCACATGCTAATAAGAGCAGAAGTAAAGCAAGAAAGGCAGAAAGCAAGAAAGGCAGAAAGGAAAGAAGGAAAGAGAGAAGGAAAGAACCCAAAAGCTGAGTCTCTTTGGTCTGAGTCTCTGGTACAGTATAAAGTGCCTTATGAAGCACTTTATAGTGCAATACTAAGAACTATATAAATACTTAGCATATCTGTACAGACTTTTGCTGTTGATGGGCTTGCTGGAGGAGGTCATTTTTTGCCCAGAGATCCATAACAGCAAATTTCAAAACTACATTAAGTCATTAAACCACTTCCTTCTCCAGTTCCAATCTGTTTTTTAAGCATCTCAGTTTACAAAATTGTTTTTTTACCTCTCTGTTTACAAAACGTACTTACTTCCTCTTTGAACAGGATCTTTGCAACAGCAGATCCTTAGTAATTCCAGTTCTGTGTTAAATGATAAGGAATACCTATACTTCACCCTAATTTTTAGGCTGTATCATGCTATTAATTGTAAAGCAGAACCCCCAAATTGCAGTCTGCTCAATGCTGCTCTTGCATACAAGTTATGACTGGTTACTGTACTTTGACAACTCTAGTTCCCTAAGTGCTACTTTTTATAACCTCTTCTGAAAAAAATCTTGAATGCTGCATGGCACATTTTCCTACCTTCCTTTCATTCCCCCTATAAATCTAAACTACTTACACATACACATCTTATTAACTCTTTAAACAATAACATTAAAATAAAAGGGTAGCTATATTTAAAAAATTAGGCCCTGCCATGTACCCCACACCCTTTTTCTCTATATAATTTTTGCTATCCTGTGTCCTTGACTTGTAGATATCTCCCTCACTATCTTGATCAATTCCTACTGAATGCTATGGAAATGGTTGTACATGCCTGTATTACATATAAAAATATTAAAGAATTATTTTAATTTAAGCCTCTCCTGGGCGTTCTCATAAATGAGCACAAAGACTAGATAAAATATACTGAGGCAAACATATTGCATGTCTATAACAACATCCCTGTAATACTGTAGATTGAGAGTGCATGTTCCCAGGGATGTGCACATAAACTACACATATTTTCAAAGTACCTATGCTGTCCAGTCTAAAGGTAGCTTTATATTGCCATATAAACATTTTCAGTACTTTAGTGGGGAAGGCAAGGAGCTTATGCAAGGAGGTTTCAGTGCATTTTTGTACATGAATACCTTCCACAAGGTCAGTTAAAGAAAAATTCTTTATCCTTTTTTTCCTGGCTAAGAGCCCACTATAAAACTGCTGTTGCTGCACAACTACCAATTATAACTCATGATATATTTTAAAGTATAGTCTGAAATCCATCCACATCTCTGAATCAATTCTTACCGAAGTTTAAATTGGAGTGCCTGTATGGCTAAACTTTCACAGAATCCTTCCACAGCAAACTTAGATGCAGCATATACATCATTAAACAAAATACCTGAAGGCAAAAACAGAACCATTAGAAACTTATCTCATGGAAGATGCTAAGGTAATTTTGAATTTTAGAACATCTTGCATTTTCTAAAAAATCTTAATTTTTTTGTGGTTGTGAAGGCATAAAAAAATCCTCGCTGAGGCTGGGCTAATTTAACAGTAACATATCTGAAATGTTAAAAGTGACCCTAATAAATGTATGTGGATGGCAAAATCTTTTTTTTTGACACACACACTGATCAGTGATTGTCAAGAGGAAAAGCATTTTGCTGAGGCTCTTCTGCACCTTACTTGTAGTTATAGGGTACTATTGGCAACTGGTGTAAGTCAGAGAAACTTTAAAATTGCTCCTTGATCACAGCTGAGGATATGGCCTACGGTATATGTTTGTGCTAAGTATTTTGGGTTCTTATACATTGGTCACATGTATAGGGCTCTACATGTACCATGCAGTTTGCATAATTTCCAAACCAAAGCATTATAACAGCAGGATTGATTTAAGATTCAGTGAGATTTGCAGTTGTTTCTCCTTGGGGATGTTGAGGAGGTATATGTCAACAGAGCAAGCACGACATTGCTCATATAAGCAACTTCTGCAGCTAGTGTCTTGACTGTATGACCCCCTAACTCACTGGAATAATCCACCTTAAAGCCACATTAAAGTAACTGAAAATACACATGCAAAAAAGTTTATACAGGATGGAAGACCAAATTACTTGCAAAATTAGCTGACTCTAATGGGAAGGGTTTTTTTTTTATAGTAAGTGGCAGACTCATTAGAGGGAAAACTTTTCAGAAAGAATATGAAACTGTTTGGGATATGGAGGGTTTAAATGGAAGTGGCAAAGGACCTGCTGGATAAATCACAACTACCATAAGCTTTTTAAAGTCTGGAGTGTTGACTGTATTTTTCTTTTGGGTAGAGGTGTGGAAAGACCACCTTAAATACACTGTTGAGAAATCTTCCCCAAACAAATGCACTAATTAAAAATCTCAGATTGCTCTAGTAAAAATTCCTTAAGGAAGAAGACTTAAAATCAAATTTTAATGTCTTTGCATAAACTGTAAATGCATTTGTCTTCTCTCCAGAGTATCTTTAAATGAGAGAAAGACATTTCTACATGCAATTATATTGTGAAAGAGTAATGTCCTATTCTCTACAAAACTCAAAGATAGCTATTTAGGTCCAAATCTGCTAGTTTTACCCGCATGGTTCAGTACTTCACTCTGCAAGCAGTCCCATTAAAATTGCTGAGAATAGCTGCATAGTAGGATATCATACAGCATGAGTAAGGATAGCATAACTGAGTCCCATGTTTGTAAACTAGCAGCTTCAGCATCATAGGAAGCAAAAGCTTTACTCACTAGATCTCACTTTTTTCAGTTCATGGTTTCACAAGTACATTTTTCTAGACACAACTAAACCATTAGTACAAAATATTTTGCCTTGTAATCCCATGACGCTGCTTATTATGACTATATGTCCACTTTTTCTCTTCTTCATATCAGGTAAAATCTCTTTCAGGAGTCGAACCAGTCCAAAGAAGTTGGTATCCATCACAGTCTTCATCTCATCAATGGTCTGGCATTCTATAGGTCCAATGAGCCCCATTCCAGCATTGCTAACTATAGATATGAAAAATAGTGTGGTAAGTGCAATAAACATTAACTTGGCAATTTTATTGGAAAATACATGCTGGTTGAAAGGAGCAACTAAAAGAAAGGGTAAAAAAATAAACAAGAGTCATTTTTCTTCTTCTGACTTAAACCATGAGAACATATTTAAAATTGATTGTCTTTGCCTTCCCTCTCTTTGAGTTATTTTATAACATTTTTTTAAGTAATGTAAAATATCAGATCATTTACAAGCATTGTAATAAATAAAATGGAACTATACCTATCAATACAAATGGGGAGAATGCAATGTATAATGCCTTGCTTTAAAGTGTATATTCAACCTACTTTTAGTGCAAATAAACAGCCATCTAATGTGCCTACTCTGTCACGTGTCTGAAGTGTAAGATGAAGAATCAGGAAATCAGAGTTTTATGTTCTTAGTCTTAACACAACTTTACTATATGATCTTGAAGAAATAATTTATTCTTTTTGTGTCTGGAGTTTTCTCCTTATGTAAAATATGGTTGAAATGCTTCCCTATTTCAACACAATATAGTGAGATTTATTTAATTAATATTTTCATAATGTCTAGAACAACTTGACTAGAAGGCACTTTAAAAGTGAATGGTAATACTGATTGTGTTTATTTATACTGATGCCTTCAGAACATTTATTCTTTAAATACACTGTCTACCAGAACCTTTCCTAAATATTTAATGCTGAATTTAAATGACATTTCCCAACTACTCCGCACTTTTTTATTCATATTTATTACTTGCCTAGGATATCAATCCTCCTCTCAGGAATGTTATTAACACATGTTTTAATAGACTCTTCATCACAGACATCTAGTTGTTTTATTTCCAGGGTTTTACCCAATATGTTGTTTGCAGCTTTTTCAAGTTTCTCCTTCTTGGACAGATTCCGCATTGTGGCATATACTACAAAGTATCATAAACAGTAATAATCAGAAATGTAACTGCAGAGAATATAACATTCATAATAGAAAGATTAATTACTAAGACTACAATTTCCAAATTCATTTTTGAAAGCATATTTTAGTAGTTAAATATCACAATGATAGGGTCTGAACAAAAACCTATAGCAAAGAAAATGTATTTTTAATTTTTATATAATACTTGTTATACCCCGACTCCATGCGGCACCCAACGACTAGGGAGAAGATGATCCAATTGCTTATAGATCCTGTTATCATTAGCCAGAGCAAGCAGGGAGCAAACACCAGCACGCATTGCTTGCAACAGCTTTATTCAGAATGGAGACAGCTTCGGGCAAAGGTCCCTCACAGACACACAGCCCGTGAACCAGGGGACCTGTAGTGAACGTTACTTCTTTTCACATTTTTTACACCTTGATTCATGTTCATTAACATTCACTCCACCTCTGATTCCACCCATTTCTCGTCCTATCTCAAGCTCCTCCTCTGTTTACCTCATTAACATGAAATTGCCTATGCATTTCATTCATTTACGTGCCTCTCTGCTATGTGCACATGTGCAAGACTTTGACCTCTGCTTCTTTTGGTCACTTGCTGGTTCTTTCTGGTTTCTTGCTGACTCCTTCATCTCCAAGGTCTTGCTTCTACTTTCTCTACTGATGATAGCTGGTGGGCTGCATCTTGTTCTTCTTACACAAAGGGCTCTAACACTATGACCTTGTTAGAAAACTGCTTGCCTAAGCATTTGCAAGGTTATTTTTAATATATAATTTTGTCTTGTGACTAGTAGCTTTTGCTGAGACAGAAAAAAAAGCCTTTATTCAGCTGCAAATCCAGTGCTCCCTAAAATCCAAATATTGTCACCCTAACAATAATAACTTCCCCAATTTGACTTTCAAGGTACATCTCTAGCTATATTTTTCCCAAATCAGAAGACAAAAACCCTTGATACTAATGACTCAACTCTTCCTGGAAATAAAACCAGACAGGTCAGAGAAACAAACCATTTACGTATTCAAATTTACAACAAGGCACTGTTATTTTCCTATAAGTAAGAGAAAATACTGTAAAAAACTATGGCCAAGTTGTTTGGTAACAGGGACCAAAGTTTAGGCACCTAAAAAAGACTTAGGAGCCTGGGTCCTGGATGCACATGTTTGAAGGACTCCAGACAGCAAGGGTATAGATGGGCACAGCCAATGAAGTGTTTTAAGAATGACCCTCAAGAGGTGAAGGGCTTCTTGAAGCATCTCTGTTCTCCATACCACCTCCATTGGGTTTGGGGGGGGGGGGGGGGGGGGGGGCAGGAGGAGCATAGAAGACAACCAGTGAGCGCTCTCAGCTTTGGGAACCTCCAGGCTAAGGACAGAAGTTACACATAAACCAGTTTAAGTCATCAGAAACAGGTTTATAGTTTCATAGTTTTCATAGTAGGTAGGGTCGGAAGGAACCTGAGCAGATCATCAAGTCCAGCACCCTGCCATGGGCAGGAAAGAATGCTGGGGTCAAATGACCCTGGCTAGGTGATTATCTAGCTTCCTTTTAAAGACCCTCAGGGTAGGAGCGAGCACCACTTCCCTTGGAAGTCAGTTCCAGATCCTAGCCACCCTGACTGTGAAGTAGTGCCTCCTGATATCTAGTCTGAATCTACTCTCCGTCAACTTATGGTCATTATTCCTCGTTGTTCCTGGGAGTGCTCGGGGAAAAGGGGACTCCCCCATAGCCTGCTGGTCCCCCTTGGCCAGTTTGTAGACGGCTACCAAATCCCCTCTCAGCCTTCTCTTGTGGAGGCTGAACAGGTTCAGGTCCTGTAGCCTCCGCTCGTAGGGCCTGCCTTGCTGACCCCTGATCACACGAGTGGCCCTCCTTTGGACCCTCTCGATGTTGTCCACATCCCTCCCGAAGTGCGGCGCCCAGAACTGGACGCAGAACTCCAGCTGCGGCCTGACCAGTGTCGCATAGAGGGGGAGGATCACCTCCTTGGATCTGCTCATGATGCATCTGTGGATGCACGACAAGGTGCGGTTAGCCTTGCTGACCGCGTCCCCACATTGGCAGCCCATGTTCATTTTGGAATCAATGATGACACCAAGATCCTTTTCTACCTCTGTGCTAACGAGAAGGGAGTTCCCCAGACTGGAGGTATGCTGCTGGTTCTTCCTCCCCAGGTGCAGTACCTTGCACTTGTCAGTATTGAATCCCATCTTGTTCTCATCCGCCCACCCCTGGAACCTATCTAGATCTAGTTGCAGCCTGTCCCTCCCTTCTAGTGTGCCCACTTCTCCCCACATCTTAGTGTCATCCGCAAATTTAAACAAGGTGCTTTTCACCCCCTTGTCCAAGTCACTGATGAAGATGTTGAACAGTGTGGGCCCGAGAACCAAGCCCTGGGGGACCCCACTGCCCACATCCCTCCAGGTTGAAAAAGACCCATCCACCACCACATTCTGGGTGCAGCCCTCCAGCCAATTTGCGACCCATCTGACTGTGTAGGCATCGACACCACAGTCGCCTAATTTCTTTAACAGAACAGAAGTTCAGTGCATTTAAACTACTTTTCCAAAACTGGTTTAAGTAAACCTGGTTGGATGCAGTATCAGACTTAACCGATTTAAGTCAAACTGGTTTATGGAACATCTGTCTGAGATCCCTTCCTGGTTCAAGTTAACTTACAGTCCCCCCAGTATACCAGGATGATTTTCAGCCCTGGGCTGTGCTATCTGCTCCAGCAAAGCAGGGTCTGTCTTGCCCTTCTGCTCCCTAGCACAGAGCAGAGAACTCCTCTGGCTGTCTGAGGTCAAGGTTGGGGGCGACCCCCAGCTGGGTGCAGCCTGGTGCAGGGATGGCGGGGTGGGAGGGTCTGTCCATGGCTGACCTGAGTCTTTCATAGCCAGCATGTTCAGAACAGCCAGAACCTTTTTTTAGAAAGTAAAATACAAATGATTTTACAGACTGCAAAACTGCTGGTACAGTTCAGCTTTCAGATTACTTCTTGATGAATGAGACAATACTTGCAGAGAGTGAACACTGTCTACTGAATTGCCCAAGATACTAAATCCACCTCTTGGCTACTCTACAATCATAGCAAATATTTCCCTTCTGTATGGAAAGGGAAACCAAGTTTTCCTACTCTGAAGTGTGTGACTGAAACACTCCACTTCATGAATTTCACTTAATCAACCTCCCAGATACAAAAAATCATGGACTAAATATAGACATTTGATTTATGACACATTATAAACTGCCTAACATCTAACTCCTTAGGTACCTCTCCACTACTTACCTGCAACATTTATTCCCCTACCCCGCCCCCTCCCAGCCTCTCTCTCACCCACTGACTCCTCAATTTACATCTTCACTGACTGCCTTTCTTGCATGCATACTAGCTTCTGACTTCTTTACTATTCATTCCATCCAGGAAGAGCACACACCAACTGCAGATGCTTCCTTAGCCTGACAAAGGGTATTTATACCTGAAAGCTTGCAAAGAAGAATGTTTCCATCTATTTGAGCTGGTCTAATAAAAGATATCAGATTTACCTTGTCTGACTGAAACACTGGAATCTTCTTCTCAGACAAAAACAGTTAACTGCCCCCTTCCCTCAAAACACAATGTTTTCCTCCCAACATAGAAAATTGCAGCTAGACCAAACATAATTCTGCTAACACCAAAGTTAGCTACAACAGTAGAATGGAACTATAAAAAATAATATTCACATAGCATGCTGCAGATTGTAATTTTTTAAAGATGAAATTAAATTTCAACTTTAATTCTATACTTCTTATAGTCCACTGATTCCAAATAAACAGTTTCAGTACAGTAGCAGAACTGGCAGCTGTCCATATTGCTGTGCATCTTCCCAACAGGAAAAACTGAAACTAAGAGTGGAGGAAAGGGAGTTTGAACCAAGAACCCAGGTACATGTTAATTAAAATCCATCCAGACAGTGAGAAACCTGCACTTAATTCAGTCCTCCCTATTACGGCACAATATTTATTATTTATATAGACTTAGATCCCACCCTATCTGAAAGGCTCAGAGCAGCTAAGTGACAAACATATTGAAGTGACTAACATAGATGACATGGTAGTTTGTAATAGTAAACAGAAACAGCATTACCTTTAAATCTTTTCTGTTTGTCCCTGGCCAGTTTTATAGCCAAGGCCAGTCCAATTCCTGAGGAGCAACCGGTAATGAGTACAGTTTTTTGAGCCATTACTTGACGTGGATGGTAGTTACAATGAGGATTCTTGCAGACCCAAGGAGCTACAACTAAAATATTGTGACTAAAGCTTAATGGTACTGGTTATTAATGCTTTAGTTTTACTGAGTCAACAAATCTGAAAATGCACACCTAGACATTGTATGATTAAGAGGGATAATCTCCAACTGGAAACAAACAGGATCACATCCTTCTGCATGAATCTATGCATCTGAAACATCAATATGGAGCACATGAAATGCAAAAACTGCATTAAACTTAAAATGTTGTAAGTTAATTGTCCATAAAAATTTTAAACAGCTGAACAATTGGGCTGCATGTACTTGGTAACATAAGTTTCTACCTCCTATTTTGCTGCCACTACTACAGCCCTCACTGGAGTTGTATCCATCAATTATGTAACTGGGGGGTGAAGGTCAGTACCCAAGAAGTGCTCCATGCTGCTATAAGGAAGAGCCTTATGAAGAATAGCTCCCTGCTGTTAAGGGGATTCAAGCTTTCTTTTTTTCTTGCAAGAGAACCACACTTGTATTATAGTCAAGGCTCTCCACAAATACAGAAGTGGGGTAAGATTTTGCCAAGAAAGCAATCAAGGACTTGATACTATTGAATACTCACAACTAAAAGTTCCAATAGAATTGTAGTTTCTAGAAGTGAAATGGAAAAAAAGGTTAGTTCTGAAAAGGTACAAAACATGTCAGGAAGTGCCTCTGAGAGATTCCTCAGGGTTGTGTTTGGTTCTGGTCTTGCTCTCACAAAAACATATTACCATACTTACTCAAATACAAGATGACTCCCAATAATTAGATTCTGTACATGGAAAGATTATAAACTTGCTATAATTTGCCAGCTATAGAACCTAAAAATTGAAGGGCTGCCTTAAATCCCACCCCCACTGCTACAGCACAGAAAGCAGTGGCTGGGGGGGAGGGCAGGGGTCAGGTGGCACCCTTGCCCTTTGTCCCACCCATTTTCCTCCCTGCAGCCTTCCTGCCCCACCACCTGCATCCCACAACTTTCAGCTCTCAATAGCTTCTTCCCCACCAAATTCCTCACAGTCTCTGCCTTGCCCCCACCCTGCAGACACTTCTTGGGCTGCTCCATCCAGGAGCACAGCACATGGAAGCTCAGCCTTTGCCTGCCCAGGTGGCAGCATCAGGGCTTGTGCTCTGAGCTAGGGGGACCCCAGCCCCAGTGGGAGCCCAGCTGCACCTGAGAGTCAGGGAGAGTGAAGGGAGTGAGCTGGGCACAAGCTGCAGAGGGGAAATGGGGGGTGAGTCAGGAGGCTGTTGTGGGTCTGATGGGCCCTCACCAGAGCTCAGTCAGAGCCACAGCAGCCACCTGCTTCCCCCTCCACTTCCTATGGAATACAAGACAAGGGGCATTTTCCCCATGCTGATTGGGGGAAAAAAACCTCAGCTTATATTTAAGTAAATACAGTATGATTTTCCTTTATGTTTAAAGCTTTTACTCATATTATTTTCAGCCTGCCTCCCTCTGGCCCATGAGGTTCTCCAATGCTTTTACACTTTTAAATTATTTTAAATTTCTATTATTAATTTAAAAACTTATGTAAGACACTGGTACTGAGATAAATATGTGACTATATAATTAAAATTAGTGGAATATCTGATGTTAAGTAAGCTGATGGGAAAAGATAATAGAAATTAAGAGATATCAAGCCAGAGACACCTTTTTAGAGGGAAGAGGGAGAGAGTTCAAAATATGCCATGTCTGTTATACAGACAATCCCTTCGGCACCACTTGTTCTAAGGAGTGGTATTTTCTGCAATATCAGCAGGATCAGAATGAGAAGGGATCTTCTTTTTTTCCCTAATAAGGAGCAAGGAAATCATGGAAAGGGTTGCAAACAAATAGGCATCCTAAGAATCAAGTGAGTGATGGGATCGATAGCTTAAAATTAATCCTTGGCATCCTTAGAAGTACTAGAACGTCTTTTGAAATACTGGGTTTGGTTACTGATTGGGCTTAAAGAACTCAGGGAGATACCTTGGGGCCCTAGCCAAAGTTTTTATTTTGATATCAAGAAAAATAAGTACACTGCACCCAAACAGCACTGGACTGGAAAGTTTTAGAGCTGAATTCTTCCAAAGTTGGGTGGCATTTGGACCTGGGTCCACCTTTAATGTTATAATATGCACATTTAATAAATATGTAACAAATCAGTAAGAAATGGAAAATTAATCTCTTGTGTAATTTTTCTTCAGCTACACAAAACCAACAAAATAAATCATGAAACTTCTGAATGACATCCAGCCAATTGCAATGCTATTATACACATAAAATATTTATAAGAATCTCAATAAGCTGTTTTGTAATACAGTGCAGAAACGTGTGCTTAATGTTCCAGTATTTTACTAACCATTTTACTTCTGCACACAGGGAAATGGTTTATTGAAATTAAGTAAAATTATGGTATGACATAATGGATTTCCTTGGTTTGCACACCAATTAAAAATACATTTGCTAGTGTATCAAGCAGAATAATTAACTTTTTAAACAAACCACATTGTTTGAAATTGACAAAACATCCAAAAGTAGAGAGATGAATGGAATTATGATTCAATTTAACTATAGGTCTTGATCAACATCCAGATAAACAATTTCCATTTAGCTGATTCAGTTATTAGGCAAAATGTTTCTGCTGTTCATGCACATTTATATTTAGCACATGAAAGATGGGCTAGCTAGGCCTTATGTAACATATGTTGATGGAATTCTAATAATGTGATAATGTGACTGTGATTAAGGGTGGGTTGGGTTAGGCCTTCCACTTGAAATCCTGGCTTGAGGGGTTTAACATTTACTGTTCTGCTGTTTTAAAGATTGAGTGAACTCGGTGCACAATTTTTTTTTTTTAATCCTTCAGGACAACTCTAGAGGAAAGATTTAAAAAAATGATGCTGTTATACGATAGAGAAATACAAGGCTTGCTTAAAAAGTACAATGAATGTAGTTATTTTCAAAATTAAACTAAGTGTTTTTGCTACACTGGATAATTTCAAACAACCGAAGTCAGCCATGCACATTCGGAACTGTAGAAACACGTACTTTATAATGAAAGCATTTAGACCTTGTCTGTACTAGCAAAAATTAGTTAACCGAGTTTGTAGAGCTGCTTGTAATGGACTAGTTGCACTGGAGGAACAAGTTTTCATGACACTGAATAAAAATGATTATGCACTATCTAGCTAGCTAGTTACTGATTCATCTGCACAACTGCTGAAATACAGGGTGCTAGTCCAAGATACACCCTTAGCATGGTGAGCATGCAAATTTGGGCCTTAAATCTTTAAACAGCACTATGTTATTTTCTGTTCCTCTTGTATTAGATTTAAAATACTTAATACTTTTCAAGCTAATAGCTTTGCTAACATGTTTTTCATGCAAGTACACTATCTTGTCTCATACAATTTACCAGTAATATAATCTAATATCAAGCTTTAGGAATCTTAATTGTGTAAATTCAAGATTGTGTACCAGAAACAGATTTAGTGTCCTTGAATTCATCTCACTCTCACCTTTCATCCCTGCACCTGTATTTTTAATACATGTGTTAGAGGGTCACCAGCAAAGCATTTTTCATGGCTGAGGGGGTAAGGAAAAAAAAGTTGAAAATTATATCAATTGAAAAAAGGGAAGACCTCACTAAGTTTCAGATGTGATAGATTGCGAGTGGTTTGTGCGTCCTTTCTAAATCACCGTAAGACAACATCATACCATGCGATTTAGAAACAGTTTCATTCTGGGGTAAAGTGTTCCAGTTTAGCTTCACTTATTGTGGAACAGGAATAGACGCACACAGTTCCATAGGATAAGCTAACATAGTCATGAGGTCCAAGTCCCCTCCCTCTTTTTAAAATTCTGCAATTGTTTGATCTGTCGACAACCTAAGGGTATGACAATTGATGCGACAACAATACCAATATAAGCTGTTAAAATGTAACTGTTATGTCTGTATAATTCTGTAGAGATCCAACTAGCAAAAATGCTCCAACTTTAATCCTGCTTCATTCAGAGCCAAAATTAGAGTGATTTAGTTCAACCCACGAGCCAGATGAATGGCACAGGACTGGTCCACAGGCCAGACAAACAGTGTGAGGCTATCTTTGTGGGTCAGATAAGGCCTCCCCTTCCCCCCACTCCCGCTCTCCCCTTTGCATACCAGATCCAGGGCCCATTCTGGCTACTCTGGGACTGTGCTGCACTCTGCTCCAGCCAGATGGTGCCATTTGCAATGTTGGACCCCCCCACCCCAGACCCGCCAGAGAGGATGCCACACTCAGATCACATCCTGGACCAGCCAAAATAGGCATCAAATTCAGCACGTAAGGGGTGGGTGGGGGAGAAGAGCGGGGACAACCCAGACTGGCCTTGCGTTGATGCTGTGTGCACAGTGGACTCCAGAGTAGGAACTATGTGTGGCACATGTCCAGGACCTGCCAGGTGAGCACCACTTGAGGACCCATCCCAGGTCTGGGACTGAATGATGGGGGCTCCATAGGCCCTATCCTTGATGCCCTTGATTTAGCTAATTTGTATTGCTACAGGATCATGCAGACATAACAGTTGCATTATAACAGCTGTTGCATGCTCCAGAATAGCAGCTCTCCTCCCCCTTTTAAATTGGCTAAAAAGTATGTCCGTGACTTGAGTTGTGTGATATTAAAAAGAAGCAGCAGCAGCAAAAAACAATTTATTTTATTACAGTTTATAAAAATGAGATACATACTTGTTTTTACTGAAAGTAATGGAAGCTTTTTCATGGGCTTCAGCTAGAGAATGACCAAGTTCCAAGAGTATGGAAGTAAATAACTTATCGTGGAAGTAAAAAGAACCAGGGCTTGACTGTGTCAGTAGGTCATGGTAAAAGCCCAAACGTACACACTCTTACCCTGTCATTTACTAATGGAAGCTAAGCCATAGTGGGTTACCCTGTTTTCACTGAGGGCACATCTTCTCTTTACCACAGAATTAGACCATAAAAATGGCCCGTTACTGCAGAATTCTCCTTAGCACTTATTCTGAAGTAAACTGTAAATGAAACTATTTGTGGTAGCAAGATTTGTAATAGTGATGTTTATGATCATAACTGAACATTATGATCAAGCCTAAAGCAGTAGTGTTCTAGGTTTTGGCCACCCAGGCAGACGAATAGCATGTGGTCAATCTGCAGGCCAACTCAGACCCTGCGCCATGCCCACATACCAGGATTGAAGTTTGGGGCCCTGCTCCAACCTGAGTGCCAGGATTGGGCCCTGTGCACCAGATCATACACACAGAGCTATGGCCATGGGGCTCCCCATGGACCTGTGGTGAGCCCTGTGAGCCAGATGACATGGCCCAGTGTCTGGATCTGGCTCACAGGCCAGGGGTTGAGAACCCCTTGGTATTTGTCAGCTCAGTGGAAAAAAAATTCTTACTAATGACAGTTCATTTACTGTATAAAGAAAATAAAGTTTTTAAATACCTAATAGCACTTTTAGGTAGAAATTAGATATAAAAAGAGTAAGGCAACTAATTAGAAAGCTGTAGTAAGTCTGGACAATTTATATTTATCCCCAGAACTCAACAAAACCTTAAAAAATAAGTTTATTTCCAAAACAGAATTACTATACAAATTATTTCAAAACAATAATAATAAATTTAGAAAAATAAAAAGGTTGCAATTTACAGCCAACATAAATACATTAAAATATATACACATTACTATATTAACACTTCCTCTTTAAATTCTATGTTGTGTTGGAAATAATTCCACTTTTGACTTTATTGCTTGTCAGACTGATGGTATCTTTTCTTCTTAATCTTTGTCCCTGAAATAATAATGCATATTAGAGATATTTTTAATATGAATCTCTCTTTCAAATTTCTTATTTATTCTGTCATATCAAAATGCATTTGTACAAAGATAATAGTAGTAATCTAACTTTCATTTTTGTTCTTTAAAATGAGCTCTTTTGTGAAATGGACCAAATATAAAATAAATTAGCTATGGTTTGAAGTCCATGGTCTTTTTCTTGTAGCCTGAAACTTTGACTAGAATCACTAATGGATCTTGATTGTCTTGGCTTCCACCATTGCAAGAGACACCAATTGCTGAGTTTAAAGTAGTTTACAATTTATTTTTATAAAAAATGGGAGGGGTTTGAGGGGGGGGGGGATGGAGTCCATGAAAAAATTCTCACTCATATGAGACCCACACTTTGGATACAATTTGGAACCCCTGCAAATCTTAACCTTTCTTATGTAAACAGTCTCACAATTAAATTAAGAAATACCTACCCTACCACAGAAGCACATGCTTGATTTTCCTTTGAGTTTGCATTGAGCGATACATGTGTAGAAGCATTTTCAGATTTCCTCATTTCTTTGTTGATATATTTTAGCATTCCACTAAGAGTTTGGAAGTCATTACAGTCAGAAGCCATATCTTCATCTAAAGCAAATGTCAGGGGATCAAATGAGGATTCATTCAACCTATTTGTTGTATGAAAAAAATCCTTTTGACCGTCTTGAATCGCTGAAGACTGTAACATCAGTATTTGTTTGAAATCATCTAATGTGCTTTTTGACAGATCTAGTGAATCGCTGTCTTTAACACTTAAGTCACTAGCACTTATAGATCGACGTAGTTTTCTCTGTTTAAAATATGAAGCATGAGAATATCTGGAAGAATCCTGTTCTTGATTACTGAACAATGCATGAGTTGATAATACAAGCGGTATTGGTAGCTGCTTGATACCTTCTGTTCGTTCATGCCCAGCAATTCTGGTTTGTAATCTTGTTACTTGAGATTCCTACAATTTAAAAATTAAACAAATATTTTTTTTAAAATTCTAACACCAATTAAAACTATCCTCTATATTATGTTCCATGTATCAAACTCACCCTGCTAATTTCTGTATCAGCCACTGCTGACAACATGATAATCCTGCCTATCATTCAGCCATATAATCTGAGTTTGCATGTTCAGTCTACATCTAAATCCTGATGATTCTTTCTACATAACATCTCAAAAGATGTAAACCTCTATCCACCTACACACTAGATCCCGATTTCATGCATCCATTACTTTTTTAACACCCTTTCCTTAGGCCCTGGACAGTATAATTTGCCTTGTTGCATCTATTCAGAATGTTGCTGCAAAGACAATTTTCCTAACTGAATGCTTTGAACCATGTCACCTCTCTTTGCCTCCTTCTAATATACTGCATCAAATGCAAGCTACTTAATCTTTCTTTTCAAAGCCACTCAATTTACCTATTATCTCTTACTTGCTAGCAAAATGTCAGCTCCCAACTCCAAATCAGCCCAAGCTGACAGCCTCCATTGTCCAAATGTAACGGTTTTCAAAAAGCGCTCTTATGCATTCTCCTCTGATGGTCTTCATGCTTGGTAACTGTTGTTGGTCTAATACAAGATATCATCTCTATTATGAGTCCTGATTATATATTGTTCAGCAGTTTTGTAACGTGTGTAAAGTTCCATGCTGCTGTGGGCTCTCAAGGGCAGAAACTTTAAAAGGTAGCTTGGTTATATCCACAGAAAACGCAGTCACAGCAGTGACTCATGTAGACATACCAGGGATTTGTCTAATCTCCTCTGGCAGTTAATTCTAAAAACTGGATCTTCCTCTACTGAAAGTGCTTTGTCTCCTGCATTTACAAATTTAATTCAGGGCTTTATAATCTGCACTTGCCCAGGATAACCACAACTAAACTAGAAAGTAGAATTTCTACCAAATAACTAGGCAGACAAAGTCATTTGGGAAAATGTGATATGTTTTATTAGACCAACTAAATAGTTGGAAAAATTGGTCTTTGCCAGCTTTCAGGCACAAGCACCTTCTTCAGGATTGGGGGCAGTCTGCTGGTGTTCTCTCTAGTGTCAAATAGAAGTTTAAACCAATATGCAAAATGCATGGCAGGGAAGATCAGAGGGGATGGGAGTTAATGGGTGTGAGACAGGTAGGTGGGGAGGAGAAAAATAAATGGGGAATGTCCACAGGTGATAAAATGTGGAGAGGTTATCTGCGGTTATTGGATAGCAGGCACATCCAGTAACATTATAATGTGCCACATTATACATGCCTGCCATCCGATAACACCAGGTAACCTCTCTACATTTTACCAGCCACGTTTTATCAGTTTTATCACCTGTCAACACTCCCCTCTTTTGTTCCTCTCCACCTACCTGTGTCACATCTATTAACTCTTATCACCTTTGATCTTCCCTGCTACACATTTGCATTTTCACACACCTGCATTTTGCATATTGACTTAAGCTTCTATTCAACACCACAGAGAACACCAGCAGACTCTCCCTATGCCTGAAGGAGGGTGCTTGTGCTCAAAGAACAATTGTTCTACCTATTCAGTTGGTCTAATAAAAAACATCACATTTACCCAAATAACCTTGTCTGCCTATGTCCTTAAACCAACACAGCTACAACCAACACCACCAAATAACTAAACTTTTATCTAAACTGCCACATTAACACATCTGTGTGTTCAGACTGAATACTTTTATTTGGGCTAATTAGCAGAAAAAGAAATTACAAGGATTTATACAGAACTGTACAGACTTGTGCATATTTCTCTAAGGATTGTGTGTATTTATAAAAAACTTTTTATATTTTATAAAAATACACACATTTTATATATAATTGCACATATTCACACCCACATATATACAAGGTTTGTCATGTGTAAAGTACACAAACAGGCCTTTAAAAATAATTTTATATAAAAACAAAGTTATAAAATGTGTACACATGTATTAATTCACACTACAATGACAATCTTCACTTGCAAAGTGTAGGATTCCTTCTGTTTTCCCCAAATCCAGTCCTTCCACACAGAAGGATGAAAATTATGGTTTTACATTATAGAAGTTGAATAGGATTATTCCTTCCATACCAGCATTTCTGTAAGCTCTTTTCAATTCTTTCCACTTTTTTTTTATAAAGATGAGCATGAAGTAAGTCAGGGTAATTTAAAAAAAATCAGAATTGGATAATTAGTTTCTGTTTCTTATTTACTTTTGATTTAAGGAACCCTTCATTTGTTTTTACTCATAGAAATTGCATGAAATGCCTCATGTACAACATAGGCAGGCAAGGTTCTTTGAGTAGATGGAAAAAAGGTTCTTTGAGTAGTTGGAAAAAAGTTCTTGGCAAGCTTTTGGGCACAGTCACCCTTCTTCAGGCATAGGGAGTCTCTGCTGTTCTGAGACTCCAAAAAACGAGAGAAGCTAAAAGTGTGGCAGGATGTCAGTGAGAATGTAAATAGGTAGACATTAGAAAGACAAAAAGTAAAACAGGTAAGAGAGAGGGGAAGAAAGCAGGGGGGTAGGGGAAAAGCCAAAGGGGGACATACGGTGATAGAATACAAGGTAAAAAAAGAGGCTGTCTGTGAATGTGTTGCCTTCATAACTCACCTTCACAAGTAGTGCTTCATTTGCAGCACGAACTATTTCATCTCTGGCCTGAAGCTGCTGCTGCAGATTATTGACAGTGTCTTGAGCCTCTTCTAACTCCAGCTTCAGCTGCTGCAACTGCCCACTTAGATGCTGAGAGCCAGATTTCTGGGTGTCTATAGATACATACCACTTTTCCTGGTCTGTTTGATGAGCAAGCTTCTAAAAGTTTTAAGAAATACAAAGGCTATTTTATTCTTATTTCATGTACCATATTTATAGACTAAAAAGAATACAAGTAATAACTTCAAAATCCATCAATATTAACGTATTAGGTTTAACTAAAAATTAATTCATTTGTTGACAGAATCTGTACCTTGGAAAACCTATCACTTTCAGAAAACAAACAAGCCAGTTAGAAAAAATCTTGAGTAAAAATCAATCTCTTCCATCAACCCCATCAATACACTTCCATATTTTGCCATATCATCACTGTGGCTATCTCTTGCAATCGAGGATTATTGTCTTATCTGTGGATCTGAAAATGGCTGACGAGACCTATCCAGGATTGACAGACCCTGTAGCAACTGGGGCATGTGTTTCCATGCAAGGTGGGTGGGTCCAGGTTCTTGGTTTTGTCCATAACATGCTGTTTCTGCCACTCCCATTTTTCTCTCTCCCATTGTTGTTGTAAAGTTTCAAAGTACCGAGACCCTTGCAGCAGACTCTTTTTCCATTTGGGGTGGTCCTGGGTGACAGTCTCCCACAAGTTGATATTGATGCTACATTTTTCAAGTTAGCCTTGAGAACATCCTTGAAGTGCTTTCTCTGCCCTTGAGCATAAGCCTCAACTGAGCTGGGAAAATAAAACCTGCCTTGGGAGTCTGGAGTTGGATATCTGGCTGGTGTGGCCAGCCTGGCAAAGCTGATGTCTATGATCGTTGCTTTGATGCTTGTGGTTTGCATGTGAGAAGATGCTAACGTTGGTGCATCTGTCTGCCCACTGGATTTGAAGGATCTTCCACAGGCAGCGCTGATAGTACTTCTCCAGCAACTTGAGGTGAATCTTGTATGCTGCCCACACCTCAGCTACATACAATAAGGCGGGGATCATGACTATTTGATAAACCATGAGCTTGGTTTTGGATCTGATGTTGTGATCTTTGAACACCCATTTCCTCAGGCTTTTAAAGGCTGCACTTGCACATTTGAGATGATGATGGATTTCTTCATCAATGATAGCTTTCTGCAAGAGAGGGCTTCTGAGGTACAGGAAATACTCAACTTTCTCCAAAGTCTCACCGTTAATCTGAATTACTGGAGCTGGGGTCTGCTCATTAAGAGCTTGTTGGTGTAGGGCCTTAGTCTTCTGAATGTTAAGCATCACTCCGATTTTCTTGTATGCCTCAAAAAAGACATCAACGACTGTGTGAAGGTCTGCTTCCGAGTGAGAGCACACTACAGTATCATTAGCATACTGGAGCTTGATGATTGAGGTCAGGGTGGTTTTGACTTGAAGTCAGCTAAGATAAAACAGCTTACCATCCATTTGGTAGTTTAGCTCCACTCTGACTGAAAGGTTGTTGGTGGGTCAAATGTAGCATCGTGGTAAGGAATATCAAGAAGAGTGCTGGAGCGATGATACAGCCTTGATTAACTCCCATCTTAACCTTACAAAGTTCTGTGATAGATCCCTTATCGAGAACCACCACTCACATACCATTATGAAGCAGGCAAAGAATGGTGATTATTTCAGTGGACACCCGTACTTCAGAAGGATTCTTCATAGCACTTCTCAATTGACAGAGTTGAAGGCTTTTGTGAGGTCAGAAGGCCATGTAGAGGGATTTACATTTTTCCTGCTGCTGGAAAGCAATGAAGATCATGTTAGTTGTTCCTCTTGATGCCCTAAACCCACACTGAGATTCCAAGAGAAGCTCTTCAGCAAGTGAAAGGGATGGTTCAGGAGGGTTCTTGCAATTATCTTTCCTGTGGTGAACAGCAAAGTGATCCTGTTGGAATTTTCACAGTTGGACTTTCCTCCTTTCTTGAAGACTGTCATGATCATGGCATACTTGAGGTTATCTGGGATTCCCTCATCACTATAGATCTTTAAGATGAGGGCATGGAACTGTGACGAACTCCTCTCCCCAATGCTTGAAGATTTTGGCAAGGATCCCATCAGTATGGGAGACTCCAGGTGCCTATTTTGTCATATATGTATGAACCCACTCCTCTACCCCTTGTAGCAATCTCCTTCTTCAACTTCAATAGAAGAAAAATCAACAATTAAATGGAAAGTGTGCTTCCAGATGATTTCATCAGTTCCAGACCACTTATTTAAGGTGTGAAGACAAGTCAGATTTCCAAAAAAGGAAATACTGTTGTCTGGTAACCCTTCCAAATCTGCATCCATACATTTTCCTAGCAGAATACATTTGAGACACAGACAGATATGTACAAAAGATCCTTTAACCCCCTCTCATTACTAGTTTTATCTTGCTGCTTGCTCACTTTCTTCAAATGCATAGGCAAAAGATTACCTAAAAAACTCTTGGAACAGTTTTCCGCTATTGGATGCCTCCATAAAAGAGCAGAAATCAGTCTGCAGTTTTTAAAGGAACGGCAGCCTTGATGATTTGGTCTGAAAGAAGATCAACCATATGGAAGAAGAGGCAGCCATACAAAGTTTGAACTGGCCTCAGATTGCTTTTACAACTGACTCATCAATTGCTGCAAATGCTGCTTTGATGCAGCATTTTATCTATCTTGCTAGATGGAATTATTACTTTTTTACGGTTGTTTCCTTTCATCCTAAAATCTCTCAAGGTAATAGTATTCCTAATTGGATTATGTATATCTTCACTTTTTTCTTTATACCAATCTGCTATCTTTCTCAGGTATTTTTTTGGCAAAATAATGACAATGTCATTTCCTGAGGGGTATGAAAGGTGATGCTGATTCTAGACAGGATCAATATAAAAGTATAAAAAACAACTTTGGCCTTTTGGAATATACACTGGGGGTGCATCCAAATAAGCACAATCATGTGGTATGTGGCACTGCAAACACATTTGAAGTACCACATACTGCACTGTCCGGTGTTCTTCACACTGCAAGGGCGCATTGCCTGTGCGTGTGCTGCTGGTTTTTTCCCCCCCCGTTTTTTTTGACCCCTGGATATCCAAGGGCCAAAAAAACCTGCAGAAAAAAAAACCCAACAGAGCAGAGCATGCTTGGGAAGCATGTGCTGCCAAAAAGCTGAGCTGGGCCACCCAGAGCTGTGCTGTGGCTGATGGCCAGGCTCCACCCAGCAGGATCACCACAGCTGCAGCCCCGGGAGGCCCCCAGGACCCTAGGCAAGGCTGCTGGGGCCAGCACAGTGCTGGCCCCTGCCTCCCCTATCACGCCCGGGGTAACCTGCTGTGCACCAAAGCGTGTGTGGCATGGGCGTTTCCTGGGGACAAGTAGCTGTGGCGCAAGGTATGCCACTGCTAGTTGTCCTCAGGGAACCAAATGTCCACGCACGTCTGGATGCGCCCTGGGATGTTTTCTTCGTAAGATACAGATTCCCAAGATTTGCTCTGTTAATGCAACTCCTACTTGCCAATGGTTTTCACTAAGTAGGACTGATAAAGAGGTTGAAGTCTTCCATGGCATGATCTGTGAGGTCAGATCTCTGATCCAAAAACAATTTTTTTTGGATAGGCACGCTATCTTTCCAGAACCAGACAATGAATGATGATCCATTAGTGCAGGGATGGCCAGCCTGCAGCATGTGCACCACATGTGGCACAGGCAACCTCTGTGTGCGTCATGCAGCAGACCAGGAAGGAGATAAGCAACACAGCAGCAGACAGGGCAGGGAGCAGAATGCATAGCAGCAAATCAGGGAGCAGAAAGCAAAGCAGGAGACTGGGCAAAGGCACAGGACAGAAAGCAGAGCAGCTGATCAGGCAGAGGAAGGGGACTGAAGTGGAACCTAGGGAGGGTTTGGGATAATTTGTGGCATGCCCCAAAAAGTTGGCCCCCGCTGCACTAGTGACTCAGATGAGCCAGTTTTTGTAACACCTTCACATACCATGACCTTCAAGTTGGTGAGGCATAAAAGATTAAAATGAAAACTTTAAATGAACTCAAATTCCTGGCTTCTTGGAATTAATTTTCTTTTCTTAACAATCAAGAACATTTTGTTTACACTTTGCTGAGATATCCAGTCGATGGTCTGTAGTAGAACAGGATACTACTCATCACCTGAGAAGCCCTTTCTTCTTAGCTTGGTTTATCTTTTTGTAAGTTCAGGTGCCAGAGTCAAGTAAGCTGGTTTTAGATGTAGAAGTAGACTATTTGATACAAGATCCTGCTGACAGACATATCCTTCCCTGGCAGTTAATAATGTTGAGTAATATCAGTAATATCTCCGATGCTTTTGTACTACTCTTTCCAGTTGGCAGAACAAGAGGAAAGGCACAGAAGTTTGGTTCGTCTTCTAGACTAACGGTTCTCAAACTTTTTCTTATTGCGTGACCCCTTACAGATTTACCAGCTGTCCACATACCCCTATCTGCATACATTTTATATTTTAACTCCTTAAATGCCAATTATAATGAAAATTAAATCCATTATTACATAATTTCTCCATGTACCCCCTCCAAGATGACTTATGTACCCCCAGGGGTATGCATACCACAGTTTGGGAACCTGTGTTCTAGACTTTCTTAGACCATGCATGTGCATGAATGCATGTATGCCCATGCATATCTATGAGCTTTTCTGAACTCTTTACTTTGCTTTGGTCTTTCAGAGGAATTTTACCTTTTAGGAAAGGGTATCACCCTTTTTTTCCTTAGGTTTTTCAACTGTGAAACAACTCTGTGTTTATATCTCAAATGTCTTCCCTTTTCTTTGTCAGAAATATAATTAGATATGGCAAGGATGTGTATCCCTGTGGACGCAAATAATCACCGTGGGAGGAAGAAGAGTTTGATAGTATGCTGAATTCCTTCTCCTAGGAATCAGTCATTCATGAGTATATGAGAGGTAGTTTGAGAGAAGAGGGTTTGAAAGAATATTCTGACTTATTACTGGAGTCTTTCTTGAGGACTTCCATGGATTATTAGCTTGCTGAATTCTGAGGAGGAGTTGCTTGCTTCTTGGAGGCATCTCTGCTGGAGTCTTTTAGCTCATATATAAAGAAAACAAAGACCATGGCCTGTCTTCCAACTCAGAGTCTCTTCTCCTTACCTGCAGCTCCAGAGGATGTTTATGCCCTTTGCCTTAGTTTAGGCTTTACATGTTTTACTATGAAAGAGAGTAAACTGCTAGTCAGCAATTTCACAGGAAATGCCCTTTGGAAAATACCCAAAGGGACAGAAAAGTTTGAAAATGGATGTAGCAGATGATGATTCACTGTCTTGAAATAACATGAAAAGCACTAAACCACTACTATGTCTTCAGAACTGGAAGAAGAATATCCAGAAGGTGTGCAGTAGTGCTAGAATAAAAATGTACTATTGTAAAAATGCCAAAGCCTAGTAAGTTCTCTCATTTACCTCCAGCTCATAAGCCTCTTTTAATGAGTCTATTTCTGCTGAAAGCCTTTTTATTTCTGCTTGCATTCTTGCTTGTAACTGGGCTTCATGCGCTTGAGCAGCACCTAGTTCTTCTGCCAAACAGTTTGCACGAGCTTCCTGTAGGAGTAAATAATAAATGATAAAGGGAATGTACATTTAATGTTTTGCACCTTTCATCCAAAAAACCATTGCTTCTATTTGAAGCATCTTGGATGAAACATGGATCTTATCTTTCCCAGTTTATACAGCCTGGCTGGAGAAGTTAAACATTTACCTCATTTGTCCAACAGCAAGTCATCAGCAAACAAAGGAATAAAAATAAAGCCTGGAGTCAGTAAGCCAAATTTGCTTTTATTTAGTTTCTAAATCAATTCAAAGCCAAGCAAATACAAGAATAGAGTCGTATTCATTCAAGAACCCCAGAGGTGGCAGCCTCTTGCCCACACAGACTACAAATATCTTCGCCCCCCTCCACTCCTCCCAGAGTTCAAGATATCTAGCCCCGCTGCAGCAAGGGTAAGCGCATGTATGAGATAGCAGCACGGAGGGCTGTAGAAGAAACAGGCAGTTCATGCAGTTGCATGCTATCCAATCCCCCATGGCAGGTCAGACCTTCCTGAACAAGATTAAACCTCTTTACAGGCCAGTCCAGCCCATGGGCCATAGATTGCCAACCCCTTAGGTAGCAGATGAAGAGACTTGTCCATCTTTACACAAGAAGTCTCTGGCTAAACTCAGGAATAATCTAATGAATTTAGGTCCAAAATGTTAGGCACAAGCAGCCTAAAGCAGGTGGATATCGGAGAGGACCACACTCAGCAGCAGGAGAATAAAGCAGAGCTCCACAATCTGGCTTAGTTATGAAAGAAGATTAAAGGGCTAGAATAAGATTTATGGAAGGGACACAGAAAGGAGAATTCTGACGGTCTGGTAAGAGGGTGTGATGTGTGGAGCTATGATTGCTGTCCCTAGGCTGCAGAGCAGAATGAGGGGTATTTAGTATTTCCCATGCTTCTGGGCTTTGCTGGTTGCCACATAGGGCCAGGAAGGATTTTTTTCCCCTCCTGCTGCTACATGTGCCAGGTTTTTTTCACCTCCCTCAGAAGCATTGGGAAGTCCTTTCCAGCCCTTCTTTTCTATGGTTCTAAAAGACCACTGTTTTGCTCCTTAATCGTTGCATCTTGCTTTGCAATGAAGGGATGAAAAACCCTACTGCACAAAAGCTAAATGATGGCTTTCAGTGCTGCTCCAAATTGGAACTATTCAGAAAGGAATTTTGCTTTAGCAAAG